GAGAGGAGCACCCCTCAGAGCCAATGGGAGACTGCGTCAAAGGCAGAGAGCCAATCAGAACACAGGTCTCCCAAAGTCCCGGCCTCCGTGCTCTGAGGAGAAAGAGACAATTCTGAGGGAATATGGCTTTTCCCCTCAGGAGAATGCCAGAGTTGTGGGTAGACTAAGGAGATCGAATCAATATTCAAATTGACAACCATATGTCCAGTTCAGTTTAAGTGAGATAAAGACATTACTGCAAAAAATAATCATAATAGTTTCATTTTTAAGTAGTTGCACCAACCAGGACTCATTTCCCTTCTTTCAATAACCCCCCTCCTTAAGATGGTGAGGGAAAATGTCTGAAATCCTCTTTTTTAAAAAAAAAAAAAGTCCCTTTCAGATGAGAAAGGCATTCTGCTCATTCTAAGATAGGATGTGTCGCCTTTTAGCAATTTTGTTTGTCATTTTCTCTCTTTCAATAACTCCCCTCCTTAAAATCGTGAGGTGAAATTTATTAAAACCTTTAAAAATAAAAATAAAAAGTCTTTCAAACGGGAAAAGCATTCTGCTCATTCTGAGATAGCCTTTTAATACTTTTGTTTGTCATTTACCCTCTTGTAATAAGCCCCCCTCCGTAAAATGGTGAGGTAAAATGTGGAACTTAACATTTGTGGCTATTGAAATTCATCTTGTTCGTTTTGGCCCAGTTCTCCCAATCTGCAATAAAGGTGAAAAATGTGGATGTTCGGGGTGGAATATTTTATTTCAGCGAACAATGTCGATTGGCATTCTGTTCTGGGGGAGATTGGATGCTTTTAAAACTGCATGAGAAAAAGGCTCATTCTTTTTGGTAGCAAAACACAGGGATCTTATTTAGTCAAGATGGGCAGAAAAATTACTAAGTCCTATGATATCCTATGCAGAATTCATCATGCGAAAGGCTGAGCTGGATGAATCCCTAGCCGGAATTAAGATTGCCGGAAGAAATATCAACAACCTCAGATATGCAGATGACACAACATTGATGGCAGAAAGTGAGGAGGAATTAAAGAACCTTTTAATGAGGGTGAAAGAGGAGAGCGCAAAATATGGTCTGAAGCTCAACATCAAAAAAACGAAGATCATGGCCACTGGTCCCATCACCTCCTGGCAAATAGAAGGGGAAGAAATGGAGGCAGTGAGAGATTTGACTTTCTTGGGCTCCATGAACACTGCAGATGGTGACAGCAGCCACGAAATTAAAAGACGCCTGCTTCTTGGGAGGAAAGTGATGACAAACCTAGACAGCATCTTAAAAAGCAGAGACATCACCTTGCCGACAAAGGTCCGTATAGTAAAAGCTATGGTTTTCCCAGTAGTGATGGATGGAAGTGAGGGCTGGACCATCAAGAAGGCTGGTCGCCGAAGAATGGATGCTTTTGAATTATGGTGCTGGAGGAGACTCTTGAGAGTCCCATGGACTGCAAGAAGATCAAACCTCTCCATTCGGAAGGAAATCAGCCCTGAGTGCTCACTGGAAGGACAGATCCTGAAGCTGAGGCTCCAAGACTTTGGCCACCTCATGAGAAGAGAAGACTCCCTGGAAAAGACCCTGATGTTGGGAAAGATGGAGGGCACAAGGAGAAGGGGACGACGGAGGACGAGATGGTGGGACAGTGTTCTCGAAGCTACCAGCCTGAGTTTGACCAAACTGCGGGAGGCAGTGGAAGACAGGAGTGCCTGGCGTGCTCTGGTCCAGGGGGTCACCAAAAGGCGGACACGACTAAACGACTAGACAACAACGATATCCTTTGCAGTGTTTTCCCCCCTGCACCTTTCCGCACTCCAGTTGAAGCCAAATAAAACATAACTTTCACGCACAATATGCAACAATGTTGGAAGTTTTTAGTGAAGTGTTCCTGTTAAAATATTTTCAACACTGATAACAACATTTCAAAAGCCGTTTCTCAAACTTGAAAAGAGAACAGTCAACCATCATCTGTAATTTGCTTCAGCTGAAAAGCTATGATAAGGCACTGCCTCTTCTGTGGAGGGGTAGAAAATAAATATATATAAATCCGTCGTCATACATAAATCTCAGTTCTCAAAATAAACGTCTGCCTCAATATAGAACTTCTCGTAACTATTTTATTAAAACATCATCCAGTTTCCTGCCCACCATAAAATGCATAACCGCTATTTTAACGAGCCTTTCACAGTCTTTTAAAAGTATGAAATCTGGAACATCAGTTGTTGTTTAGTCATTTAGTCGTGTCCGACTCTTTGTGACCCCTGGACCAGAGCACGCCAGGCACCTCTGTCCTCCACTACCTCCCGCGGTCAAACTCATGCTGGTAGCTTCAAGAACACTGTCCCACCATCTCGTCCTCTGTCGTCCCCTTCTCCTTGCGCCCTCCATCTTTCCCAACATCAGGGTCTTTTCCAGGGAGTCTTCTCTTCTCATGAGGTGGCCAAAGTCTTGGAGCCTCAGCTTCAGGATCTGTCCTTCCAGTGAGCACTCAGGGCTGATTTCCTTCAGAATGGAGAGGTTTGATCTTCTTGCAGTCCATGGGACTCTCAAGAGTCTCCTCCAGCACCAGAATTCAAAAGCATCCATTCTTCGGCGATCAGCCTTCTTTATGGTCCAGCTCTCACTTCCATACATCACTACTGGGAAAACCATAGCTTTTAACTATACGGACCTTTGTCGGCAAGGTGATGTCTCTGCTTTTTAAGATGCTGTCTAGGTTTGTCATCGCTTTTCTCCCAAGAAGCAGGCGTCTTTTAATTTCCTGGCTGCTGTCACCATCTGCAGTGATCATGGAGCCCAAAAAGTAAAATCTCTCACTGCCTCCATTTCTTCCCCTTCTATTTGCCAGGAGGTGATGGGACCAGTGGCCATGATCTTCGTTTTTTTGATGGTTGAGCTTCAAACCATATTTTGCGCTCTCCTCTTTCACCCTCCTTAAAAGGTTCTTTAATTCCTCCTCACTTTCTGCCATCAAGGTTGTGTCATCTGCATATGAGAGGTTGTTGATATTTCTTCCGGCAATCTTAATTCCAGTTGGGATTCATCCAGCCCAGCCTTCCGAATGAATTCTGCATATAAGACCAAATTGCAAACATGCGCTGGATTCTGGAGAAAGCTAGAGAGTTCCAGAAAGACATCTACTTCTGCTTCATGGACTATGCAAAAGCCTTTGACTGTGTCGACCACAGCAAACTATGGCAACTCTTAAAGAAATGGGAGTGCCTGATCACCTCATCTGTCTCCTGAGAAATCTCTATGTGGGACAAGAAGCTACAGTTAGAACTGGATATGGAACAACTGATGGGTTCAAAAAATTGGAACATCAGTGCTCTGCCCCAAACATTGCTTTCCCTCCGCAAAATCCTGCCGCCTGCCAGGATAGCTCTGACGCTATCCCATCCATTGACAAGAGTCTCAAGGTCCCAAAATCTAATCAAGATGTTTTATAGGTGGTACTTAACACCTACCAAAATAGCTAAAATGTAGAAGACAAAAACAAATCTGTGTTGGAGGTGTGGTAAAACAGAGGGGACACTTATACATGTTTGGTGGACCTGTGAAAAAATCAAAAGCTTCTGGAACATAGTATATGACGAGCTTAAAAAAATGTTTAAGTATAACTTTATAAAAAATATAGAAGCTTTTCTACTAGGGATAACGGGCACAGGAATAACAAGAGAAGATCAGAAAATATTCCTCTATGCTACAGGAAGCAGCAAGGATCCTAATTGCTAAAAACTGGGGAAAGAAGTTAAAGCTCTGGTTTTCCCAGTAGTGATGTATGGAAGTGAGAGCTGGACCATAAAGAAGGCTGATCGCCGAAGAATTGATGCTTTTGAATTATGGTGCTGGAGGAGACTCTTGAGAGTCCCATGGACTGCAAGAAGATCAAACGCATCCATTCTGAAGGAAATCAGCCCTGAGTGCTCACTGGAAGGACAGATCATGAAGCTGAGGCTCCAGTACTTTGGCCACCTCATGAGAAGAGAAGACTCCCTGGAGAAGACCCTGATGCTGGGAAAGATGGAGGGCGCAAGGAGAAGGGGATGACAGAGGACGAGATGGTGGGACAGTGTTCTCGAAGCTAATATGAGTTTGACCAAACTGCGGGAAGTAGTGGAGGACAGAGGTGCCTGGCGTGCTCTGGTCCAGGGGGTCACGAAGAGTCGGACACGACTAAACGACTAAACAACAACAACAACAACAAAGGAAAAAGAAATTGTGCCAACAAAAATGGAATGGCAAGACAAACTGTTAAAGAGTATATTGAACTGGCTAGATTAACAGAGGCAATTAGAGATCATACTAGACAAGAATTTCAAATAGCATGTGGGAAATGCAGAGAATACTTCACAAACAGTGCCCTAAAATACATACCTGGACTTGTTTCGGTTAACGTCTGCAGGAGACTTTGTGGATATTTAAGTTATAATTAGAAAAATCTTAATAATTATTCATAAAGGAAACAGCTTATAAGAAGTAAATAAGGACGCCAGAAACAGGACAAAGGAAGTCTTTTATTTGGTTGTTTGTATTGTTGTATATTATGCTTGTTATGTTTGTGTCTGATGGGGGTGGATTTCTGTGTCGGGGGGTGGGGGTTTGTGTTACGTTGTAAATAAAATTTCCCCCTCAAAATTATTATTTTTTAAAAAGAGTCTCAGGGTCCCTTTGCCCCTGGCCAAAATATACTTCGAACCGCAGAACCACCCCCAAGCGCCAAATGGCGCCATGCTCCAGCTGCACCCGGCTCCAAAAGGTGGGATAAGATGCTCTCTGTTTGCCTCCATCACTTAAAGGTAAAGGGACCCCTGACCATTAGGTCCAGTCGGGGATGACTCTGAGGTTGCGGCGCTCATCTCGCTTTACTGGCCAAGGCAGCCAGTGTCCAGCTTCCGGGCTATGTGGCCAGCAGGACTAAGCCACTGCTGGCGAACCAGAGCAGCGCACGAAAACGCCGTTTACCTTCCCGCCGGAGCGGTACCTATTTATCTACTTGCACTGGTGTGCTTTCGAACTGCTAGGTTGGCAGCAGCTGGGACCGAGCAACAGGAGCTCACCCCGTCGCGTCACTCCATCACTTGCCAATGCAAAAATCCTTGAAGATGAGCTCCAGGATCTCTTCAGACCCCACCTGTCCCGTCAGACGTCCCAGCAGTCGCCGGGCTTGCCGCAATTCCTCCGCGGCCAGAGCGAGATCCACGGCCCGGTAGTGGCCAAAGCGCCCTAGGGCCTCTAGACATTTGGCTAAGCTGAGTTGGTGGCGCGCTTGCGTGGGGCTGGGGGAGCCTGCGAGAGGGTCGCCGCACCTGGAGGGCGAGAAGACACATTTACTGTAGATAGGTAAAAGGCTTTGTATGTACAGTGGTACCTCGGGTTACAGACGCTTCAGGTTACAGACTCTGCTAACCCAGAAATAGCACCTTGGGTTAAGAACTTTGCTTCAGGATGAGAACAGAGATCATGCTCCAGCATAGCGGTGGCAGCAGGAGGCCCCATTAGCTAAAGTGGTGCTTCAGGTTAAGAACTGTTTCAGGTTAAGTACGGACCTCTGGAACAAATTAAGTACTTAACCTGAGGTACCACTGTATAGGGGGAACTGCAAACCTAGGAAGCTGCCTTAAAAGGTAAAGGGACCCCTGACCATTAGGTCCAGTCGTGGCCAACTCTGGGGTTGCGGCGCTCATCTCGCTTCCGGGTCATGTGGCCAGCTTGACGAAGCTGCTTCTGGCGAACCAGAGCAACACACGGAAACGCCGTTTACCTACCCGCTGGAGCAGTACCTATTTATCTACTTGCACTTTGACGTGCTTTCGAACTGCTAGGTTGGCAGGAGCAGGGACCGAGCAACGGGAGCTCACCCTGTCGCGGGGATTCGAACTGCCAACCTTCTGATCGGCAAGCCCTAGGCTCTGTGCGCTCCTCTGGTTCGTCAGAAGCGGCTTAGTCCTGCTGGCCACATGACCCGGAAGCTGTACGCCGGCTCCCTCGGCCAGTAAAGCGAGATGAGCACCGCAACCCCAGAGTCGGTCACGACTGGACCTAATGGTCAGGGGTCCCTTTGCCTTTACCTTTAAACCCAATCAAAAGCACTGGTCCACTTGGTTCAGTGTTGCCTACACTGACCGGTTGCAGCTCTCCAGAGTTGCAGGTGAGAGGGGCAAGCCCAGCCCAGCCCATCCCTCATGACTCCTTCCCTCCCGGTCCTCACATGTCAGCCAGCTGCTTCCCCAACACGCTCAGGAAGGTAGCGATCCCTTCTCCCGTTTTGCAAGAGAGAAAGCAGGCCGGCGCCAGGTCCGAGTCGGCAAAGTTCGCCCGCAGATCCGCCCGTTCCTTGTCGCCTAGCAGGTCCATCTTGTTCAGAACCAGCAAGTACGGCCGGGTCCCTTTCGGATCGTCCGGCGGCAGGATGTCCAGCAAGGCAGGGACCAGTTGGTTAGGCTTCTGGGCCACTTCCGCTGCATCCAGGACGGCAAGAACGAGGTCAGCAACCTCCACCCTGCAGGGAACAGAGAGCCAGTTAAAAGCCTTAGCTCAGTGCAACAAAATATAGAATCATAGAATCATAGAGTTGGAAGAGACCACAAGGGCCATCGAGTCCAACCCCCTGCCAAGCAGGAAACACCATCAGAGCACTCCTGACATATGGTTGTCAAGCATCTGCTTAAAGACCTCCAAAGAAGGAGACTCCACCACACTCCTTGGCAGCAAATTCCACCGTCGAACAGCTCTTACTGTCAGGAAGTTCTTCCTAATGTTTAGGTGGAATCTTCTTTCTTGTAGTTTGGATCCATTGCTCCGTGTCCGCTTCTCTGGAGCAGCAGAAAACCTTTCTCCCTCCTCTATGTGACATCCTTTTATATATTTGAACATGGCTATCATATCACCCCTTAACCTCCTCTTCTCCAGGCTAAACATGCCCAGCTCCCTTAGCCGTTCCTCAGAAGGCATCGTTTCCAGGCCTTTGACCATTTTGGTTGCCCTCCTCTGGACACGTTCCAGTTTGTCAGTGTCCTTCTTGAACTGTGGTGCCCAGAACTGGACACAGTACTCCAGGTGAGGTCTGACCAGAGCAGAATACAGTGGCACTATTACTTCCCTTGATCTAGATGCTATACTCCTACTGATGCATATGTTTTATGGAATCGATGTCTTGAGCACACGAGCAAAGTCTGTCCTGGTAGGGAACTCCTCTCAACCTGCCATCAAACACTGCAGAAGGAAAGACGTTTCGTCTGGCTTTGGTGAAAAGCCTTCGGTAATTTGGTACTGTCAGGTTTTTAATGTAAGATGTCAACTTAAAGACATGCCCATATTGTACTCCTACTGCCAGCGGACTAAAGACTGCGTGTGATCGAGATCGCAAGTCACTGTATCCCATAATCTTTGCTTTAACGTCTTTAGGGCACCTTCATAACCCAGGTAATACAGTTGGGGGGGGGGGAACAGACCAATAGATGTGGTTTTCTGCCATTTGCTGACAAATTCCTCATTGGTCAGGTGTTGGTACAAACCCTTCCCTAGATCAAACACTGAAATCCTGAGCCAATGTTTTAGGGCAGCCCACCACACTTGAAATTGGGGGTTCACCAGCTTCTAACAGAAGTATGGAGTTGGGGACACAGTTGGGTACCTGCAGCAGAGATCGTAGAAAGTTTGCCTGAAAGCCATCTAGCTTTGGCAGGTCCCCATTATGCCAGACATAAACGCTCGTTTAACCTGGAGGTGGGCTGTATGAATTGTGTATTGCTTTGTAATGATCTGTTGGGTCTCTGGACCGTAATAAAGGTTGTTGATGATAAAAGCCTTAGCTCGGTGTTTCTTGAACTATGGTCGCCAGCTTTCATTGGACTACAACTCCCATCATTGCTAGCTAGCAGGACCAGGGGTCAGGGACAGAAGAAGAAGAAGAAGAGTTTGGATTTGATATCCCGCCTTTCACTCCCTTTAAGGAGTCTCAAAGCGGCTAACATTCTCCTTTCCCTTCCTCCCCCACAACAAACACTCTGCGAGGTGAGTGGGGCTGAGAGACTTCAAAGAAGTGTGACTGGCCCAGGGTCACCCAGCAGCTGCAGGTGGAGGAGCGGAGACGCGAACCCGGTTCCCCAGATTACGAGTCTACTGCTCCTAACCACTACACCACACTGGTTTCCTTCCCCCTGCAGACAGTGTACTTTCTGAGCATGACAATGGGATTTGTAGTCCAAGAACGGCTGGAGACCCAGGTTTGAGAGGCACACTGCAGCTATTTCCCAAGATTTCCTCCAGAGCTCTTCTGCCTGCGAACTTTGACACGCACGGCTCAACATGTTTTACAACACAGTCGTACCTTGGATCCCGAACGCCTTGCAAGTCGAACGTTTGAGCTCCCAAACACCGCAAACCAGAAGTGGCTGTTCTGGTTTGCAAACTATTTTTGGAAGCCGAACGTCCGACGGGGCTTCCATGGCTTCTGATTGGCTGCAGAAGCTTCCCACAACCAATCAGAAGCCGCGCTTTGGTTTCCGAATGTTCCGGAAATGGAACAGACGGATTCCATTGAACTTCCAAGGCATGACTGTAATTATATAGATGATTTTCAGGCAGATGAGCAAAACGTAATGGGTATTTCACGGTAGCAATCATGCTGAACATAAAACATGCCATTTGTATGATGGTCTCCTAATCCGTCCATTAAGTCAATCTCTTAATTACGAAAAGTTCTTCCGTCACCTGAACTGAAAGCGATCATAACAAATAAACCCCAATTGTCAAAATAAACTGCCATATTCTATACCCTCTTTTCAATTCCTCTTCGGCTTTCAGCACTGCATAAATGTATCCCGCTGTCTGAGCAAGCCATTATTTGCTCCGTCCTTCCAAAATCCTAAAGGTCAGTAAGGTAAAGGTAAAGGGACCCCTGGCCATTAGGTCCAGTCGTGGCCGACTCTGAGATTGTGGCGCTCATCTCGCTTTATTGGCCGAGGGAGCCGGCGTTCAGCCGCCGTCGCCTTTTCCCACTCACCTCTGCCGAGCCCGGTTCACTCCCTCCATCTCAACAACATCACTGGTGTCCCGCAGCCCTGCGGTGTCGCTCAGCACCACAGGGAACCCGGAGATGTTCAGCGCCGCCTCCACCACATCCCGTGTGGTCCCTGCTATGGGGGAAACAATGGCTGCCGGCTTCTGACCTGAGGGAGGACAACAGTTGAATTAGGGAGGGAAGGTAGACTTTAGAAGCAATCACCGATGCTCAGAAGATGGGAAGAACGCTGGAGCTGGATCAGGCCAAAGGTGGCCCATCCAGTCCAGTCCAGCATCCTGTCTTCACAGTGACGAACAAGATGCCCCTAATTATAGGAAGCCCCCCAAGAGAATCTGAATAAAAAAGGTAAAGGTAAAGGACCCCTGGATGGTTAAGTCCAGTCCAAGGTGACTATGGGGTTGCGGCGCTCATCCCACTTTCAGGCTGAGGGAGCCGGCGTTTGTCCGCAGACAGCTTTCCAGGTCATGTGGCCAGCAGGACTAAACCGCTTCTGGCGCAACAGGACACAGTGACGGAAACCAGAGCGCACGGAAATGCCGTTTACCTTCCCACTGCAGTGGTACCTATTTATCTACTTGCGCTGGCGTGCTTTCGAACTGCTAGGTTGGCAGGAGCAGGGACCGAGCAACGGGAACTCACTCCGTCGCGGGGAATCGAACCGCCGACCTTCCAGTCGGCAAGCCCAAGATGCTCAATGGTTTAGACCACAGCGCCATCCAGTGAACTTCCCTCTACTTGTGAGGCAGCGAACTCCACTGGCGATTCTCAGCCACTGGCGTTCTTCGTGTTTACAGTGTTGGCAAAAGCAACCGTATGAAGAGGGAGCCGAGGATTATAATTATAATTAATCCATCCAGAGAACCAGCAATTAGCATAATGATCTATAGCACAAAGGGGCAGAGGTGGCGGACGGATCTGGGCAGCAAGCTGTTTCGATGGCAGAATCCCCAACTCAGCTGCAGCCACTGGGATAAAAATAAATAAATCAGTCCTCCACAAAACAGGGAAGAGAAATTTGGAAGGTTCTCTGTAAAGCAAGGGGTGGGGGCTGTATGGATTCCTTGCCTCCTTCACCAGCTCTAGTTTAAAAGGTTTCTGAAGGAAGTTGGGCAGGGGAGAAACCCCTCTGCCTCCCGAATCCGTGCCGAGCCAGTGCTGCCAGCCAGAGTTGACATTACTGGCCTATGTGACTGTACGAAGCATTACAAGCAAATATCAACAGCTGCAGGGACGTGGGTGGCGCTGTGGTCTAAACCGGTGAGCCTCTTGGGCCTGCGGATCAGAAGGTCGGCGGTTCGAATCCCCGCAATGACGGGGTGAGCTCCCGTTGCTCGGTCCCTGCTCCTGCCAACCTAGCAGTTTGAAAGCAGGCCAAAGTGCAAGTAGATAAATAGGTACCACTCTGGCGGGAAGGTAAACGGCGTTTCCGTGCGCTGCTCTGGTTCGCCAGAAGTGGCGTAGTCCTGCTGGCCACATGCCCGGAAGCTGTACGCCGGCTCCCTCGGCCAGTAAAGCGAGATGAGCGCCGCAACCCCAGAGTCGGGCACGACTGGACCTAATGGTCAGGGGTCCCTTTACCTTTTAACTTTTTTTCCCCATTCACGCCATGCCCAAAGAACTCCCCGCCACCACTCAGTGTCCTTCCTGCTCACATAGGTGGTTGAGGAGGCTGCTTTTCCCGGCGTTGGTGGGCCCTGCGATCACCACATGGACTCCGTCCCTCAGCCTCTCGCCGCGGCGGCCATCTTGCAAGTGCTCCCGCACCTCCTTCTCCAATGCCTCAACGGCCTCTTCCACTGTGAAGCAGTCAGAAGGAAGAAATAAAAGACAGAGCCTCTCCGATTATGACTATTGGCTCAAAACTGAACATTTCCCCCCAAAATACTTCCCTTCCTGGCTTTCCAATGCTTTTCCTTCCTTCCCCCAGCCATGAGGACTAGCACCTTTCACATTTTTTTTTAAATAATTATTGTTGATTTTCCAATAAAAAACATCCAATTAAATATCCAATCATAATACTTCAACTAAAACATAAAAGACTAAAATAAAGGAAAAGGTAAAGGGACCCCTGACCATTAGTCCAGTCGTGGCCGACTCTGGGGTTGTGGCATTCATCTCGCTTTACTGGCCGAGGGAGCCGGCGTACAGCTTCCGGGTCATGTGGCCAGCAGGACTAAGCCGCTTCTGGCAAACCAGAGCAGCGCACGGAAATGCCGTTTACCTTCCCGCCGGAATGGTACCTATTTATCTACTTGCACTTTGATGGGCTTTCGAACTGCTAGGTTGGCAGGAGCTGGGACCGAGCAATGGGAGCTCACCCCGTCGTGGGGATTCGAACCGCCAACCTTCTGATCGGCAAGTCCTAGGCTCTGTGGTTTAACCCACAGCGCCACCCGCGTCCCACCAAGAGACTAAAATAAAAAAGATCAAATTATAGTCCAAATAGTATTTATTAATTTCTTGGGGCTCCCCACGATCTGGATCTCTGGAGCATATCTCCACATCTTAGTCCTGCATCTCCTTGCTGTTTCCATATTTTCCACATCTCGATATTAACGCTTGGTAATTTTTTGTCCCTGGGTCCTGGATTCTCATTCATGTCAAACACCATATACCGTATTTTCCGCTCTATAAGACGCACCAGACCACAAGACACACCTAGTTTTTGGAAGAGGAAAACAAGAAAAAAAAATTCTGAATCTCAGAAGCCAGAACAGCAAGAGGGATCGCTGCGCAGTGAAAGCAGCAATCCCTCTTGCTGTTCTGGCTTCTGGAATAGCTGCGCAGCCTGCATTCGCCCCGTAAGACGCACACGCATTTCCCCTTACTTTTTAGGAGGGGAAAAGTGAGTCTTATAGAGCAAAAAATACAGTAATTTCAACCACTGAATATAGCTTTGTTAATATAAAGTTTTTCCAGCTGCCTTTTCATCAGCTCAGCTTCGTCTGATTCCGTTCCAATTCCGGGATGTTGTCCAAATCTGTTATCTTTGATGGCGCAGCATCTCATTAATGGTCCAACCTTTTATTTTAAAGGCAAGGCGGCTGCGCTTCTATCGCTGCCGTTGGGGCCAAACTGTTGAGAGGTCAACGTTTATTTGGGCGTGGGAGGAAGGGTTCTAAGTGGGGTCGCCCCTCCATGGCAGGCTCCTTACCTTGAGCAAGGACCCCCTCCTCAATGTTGTCGTCTTCGCTGAAGTCAATGTAGGCTTCAAGGTGGGCCAAGGCCTGCAGGAACAAAAAAAGGTCAGCATCTCCTTTTATTGGTCCGAGAGGAAGGAGTAAATATGTAGTATAACCAAATATTTGATGTTTGGTGTGGCCCAAAGGAAACTGCAGGGAACAAAATAAATACTTCTGTTTGCAGGGAGGAGGGAAAAAGAGAGAAAGCACATTTGTATTATGGCCAGACAAAAGAAAGGATTTGAATATCCTTTATTAGGCATAGCAAACCACACATTATCAAACAGACACCGTATACAAATTGTGCAAAATACGAGCTCAGCATAACAAGGTTTGTCAATTTATGGAAACTGATTTGCTCCGTCCCAGCTCCTGCCAACCTAGCAGTTCGAAAGCACACCAGGGCAAGTAGATAAATAGGTACCGCTCCAGCGGGAAGGTAAATGGTGTTTCCATGTGCTCTGGTTTCTGTCACAGCGTCCCGTTGCGCCAGAAGCGGTTTAGTCCTGCTGGCCACATGACCCGGAAAGCTGTCTGTGGACAAACGCCGGCTCCCTTGGCCTGAAAGCGAGATGAGCGCCACAACCCCATAGTCGCCTTTGACTGGACTTATCCGTCCAGGGGTCCTTTACCTTTACCTAATATTCAGGTGCAAAATGCACCTGGCTAATTTTGAACACCACCTATGAGGAAGGGATGCTCGAATAGATCAGACCCCTTTGGCCTGATCCTGCTGCAGGGATCTTCTTATATTCTTGGGTTTTATTTTTATTATTACTGTTAACCTTTATGGCCCTTGCCAATAAATGATGTCCCCTTTGCAGAGCAGGAGTCTCAGTTCCAGGACTCCTACACAAACCATTCCACCCAGTAAAGGTAAAGGGACCCCTGACAATTAGGTCCAGCCGTGGCTGACTCTGGCATTGCGGCGCTCATCTTGCTTTATTGGCCGAGGGTACCTATTTATCTACTTGCACTTTGTGCTTTCGAACTGCTAGGTTGGCAGAAGCAGGGACTGAGCAACGGGAGCTCACCCCGTCATTGCGGGGATTCGAACAGCCGACCTTCTGATCGGCAAGTCCTAGGCTCTGTGGTTTAGACCACAGCGCCACCCACGTCCCAGTAAGTGACCCCAATTCCCTTGCCTTTGTGAGGGTGTCACTCCAACGCCGGTAGAGGCGCCCCAAGTCCCCTTCCATCTGGCGGAGAGCCTGCCGGCGCTGGCTTTCCGTCTCGGCATGAATCAAGTCCCCTAGGCCTTCCGCCGCGGTCAAGTCCAGCTTGCCGTTCTGGAAGGCCCGTTTGGTGAACTCCCCGGGTTCGGCAAGGCGCAGCAGAGGGAGGCAGCCTGGAACCAAGAGAAGAGGCCTTCCTATTAAAAGCTTCTGGGAAACGATCTATAACGAACTGAAGAAAATGTTTAAAGTAACCTTTGCGCAGAAAAACAAACCCCAAAAGCTTTCTTACTAGGATTGATAGGAACTGAATTCCCTGAAGAATGAATGAATGAGAATGAATTTTATTATTACGGTCACAGACCAGTTCCGGCTCACTTACAATATCAGGAAAATCATAAAACACAACAGGAATACATTGAATTGCAATTGGGTATAACACAGAGAATTCAGATATAGTGGCAGTTAAAAATGTATATTAAATCTTGATCACTAAAATATAACCTAAAATTGTCTTTTAAAACCTAACTCGTTTTGGTAGTACAGCTTGTTCCCTAAGTTTTATGGCAGTTGCACAGCATTTGGCCACCCTTAGTGTGATATCTAGATCCGTATCCTCTACAACAAGTTTTAGACATTGAAAACTTTATGTATGCTACAACGCCACCCGGATATTGTTAGCCCAAAGATGGAAGGAAGAAAAGATGGGGGGCCGCTAGGGGCGCCTTGGAAGATGGCTGCCAATACCATCTATCCAGCTTGCACGAGGTAATTAGAGGCTGATTATGGGGAGCAAATCAGTCTCCCTCATCTTCCCGGGGGGGGGAGATGCTGCCCTCGCCCGCGGTTGCCATAAATCACCCCCGAGTTCGGATGAAGGAGGGGGTGAGAGGCACTGGGCGGAAAGCCCTCGTAAAAGCTCGGAAAGCTCGGAGCTCCCTGCCAGCTGCTTTCAGGAGCGAACCTGGTTGCGTTGCTTAAAAAGAAGGAAAAAATTGGAGAAGTAAATGCACATGCATTTTAAAAAAAAGGAAGGAAGAAAAGATATTGACAAAAGAATGGCAAATCAAGCAAATGGACTATGCAGAAATGGCAAAATTAACGGCCAAAGCTCAGAGACTATGACAACGAGAAGTTTAAGAAAGAGTGGGAATCGTTTACTATTTATGTGCAGAAATACCGCAAACAGGTTTGATACATTGGCAGGATTTTGAGTTAATGCTTGCAACCAGTAGAAAATAAGAGAGAAAACATACGGGAAATAATAATTGGAAAAGTACAGTGGTACCTCTATTTACTTCACCTCCGGTTACGTATACTTCGGGTTACACATGCGGCAAACCTGGAAGTATTTTTCCGGGTTACGCCGTGCGCACATGCGCAGAAGCGCTCTACCGCGACGCTCACATGCACAGAACAGGCACCTCCTGTTGCGGAAACCCCAGGATCCGACCGGAGCTCCGGAATGGATCCCGTTCGCAACCGGAGGTACCACTGTATAAGTATGGAAATGCAGAAGAATTTGGATTATATATAAAAGAACCAGAAGAGAATATGGAGGAAAGTCTAGAGATTCAAAGAATCTCTAAGAGAAGTGTTATGTACTGAAGTTCTCACCCTGGGCCAGCAGGGGGATACCGTAGATAGTTATGCAAATGAAGGATCGAAAGTGACGTTCAGCGATTGGAGAGTTTGTATGCAAATGGAGGGTCGAAAGTGACGTTCAGTGATTGGGTAGTTTTAGAAAGTTGCTACATTTACGTTGTTCTGGAGCTCTATATAAGCAGGCTGACTGAGCTCTTCAGTTCAGTTCTGTTGCTTCTGAATAAACAAGAGCTGTTTGAAGAATCGCTGTGTCGTCAGATATGTCCACCCACAACTTAACAAGAAGGTTCGTGAAAATGTATTTGTATAAATCTAGATCCGGTAGAAATGTGAGTTAATTTTTGTTTTCAATTGTGAAAATGTAACTGTGGAAAATTAATTTAATTATTTTTTTTTTACAAAAAGCAACAAGAGAAGAGGTCTTCAAAACAGGGTCCTTCAGCCCAAGTCACCCAGCCTAACAAAGTCAGCCTGGAACACAGGAAGGAAGACACACCCAAAGCCTTCAAGACGCCGCTCACCACAGCCGGCCCTCCGTGGACGTGGAACTCTGCGCTGTCTTCACCCGTGAAACTGCCCGGCCCTGAAAAACAACAACACCACAGCGCTTGGGATTAATTACTCCTTTGCCGCCTGCTGCCCCGAGGTGCCCCGTGCGGGGAAAAGGAAGGGCAGAAATTTAAACAATGATTACTATAATTGCCGCGCCGGGCAGAGCAGATGCAAAGAATTGGAAGGCCTTGTCATAAGTCCATGTGGGGTCTACACCAGCGGCCAAAATTGGGGAAACCTTTTGGGGAAAGTGTGTTTCTGAGGTTTGATGGCTCGTAACACCCGATTGGCTCTCTAAACACTCATGCTCACTGGCTACATTCAGATGAAGGAAAGCTACGGCCTATCAACCTTAAGCAAGTTGTGCTTCCTTTTTCTGGTTATTTGGCTATAGCTTTTGGTAGAATTTATGGGACGCGGGAGGCGCTGTGGGTTAAACCACAGAGCCTAGGACTTGCCGATCAGAAGGTCGGCGGTTCGAATCCCCACAACGGGGTGAGCTCCCATTGCTCAGTCCCTGCTCTTGCCAACCTAGCAGTTCGAAAGCACATCAAAGTGCAAGTAGATAAATAGATACCACTCCAGCGGGAAGGTAAACGGCATTTCCATGCGCTGCTCTGGTTCGCCAGAAGCGGCTTAGTCCTGCTGGCCACATGACCCGGAAGCTGTACGCCGGCTCCCTCGGCCAATAAAGCGAGATGAGCGCCGCAACCCCAGAGTCGGCCACGACCATGGAAACGCCGTTTACTTTCCTGCCGGAGCGTTACCTATTTATCTACTTGCACTTTGATGTGCTTTCGAACTGCTAGGTTGGCAGGAGCAGGGACCGAGCAACGGGAGCTCACCCCGTCATTGCGGGGATTCAAACCGCCTACCTTCTGATCAGCAAGTCCTAGGCTCTGTGGTTTAACCCACAGAATAGTATAAAATAATAATATCAACATATAAAAGTTAAACAGAAATCCACTCAACAGTTACAGTAATATCTAAACTATAATCAATAAAACAAGGGCAAGCCACAGTACATAAAACAATATAATACACATTGAGAAGCAGAGACTGGAGGGTGTGGCAAGGCAGGTGGAAGGAGGCCTTGCCCGATGGGAGTCTCTCCCCTCACCCTCACAGATACATTCCCCGCAGGTGCCCAGATCCGCTCACCTGGGAACCACAAGACGAGGCCGCAGTCCAGGGTTTCGGCAGACCGGGGGTCGCAGATCCGCCGCAGCGTGGCCACTCTCGGAGGAGGCACCTCCGCCCTCGTGAGGCGGACCAGGGCCATGCTGCTGGCCAGGCCGCTGGTTCGAATCACGGCCACCCCGCATTTCCCTTGGCCCGAAGACAGGGCAAAGATGGTGTCCCTCTTCGCGGCTCGGCAGTACGACCTGCGGTGGAAGGAAATGGGGCAAGTGAGATGGCTGGCGAGCGTCGGAACTGCCAAGCAGCAGGTGGACCGGGACAAAGGGAGCCCATCTAGTCCAGCCTCCTGTTCTTACAGTACCAGGAAAAGCCCAGAAGCTGGACCTGAGTGCAAAAGCAGCAGCTCTCCCCTACTTGTGATTTTCAGCAACTGGTATTCAGAAGCATTTACTGCCTATAACAGTAAAGACAGCATTTTAAAAAGCAGAGACATCACCTTGCCAACAAAGGTCCGTATACTTAAAGCTCTGGTTTCCCCAGTAGTGATGTATGGAAGTGAGAGCTGGACCATCAAGAAGGCTGATCACCGAAGAATGGATGCTTTTGAATTCTGGTGCTGGAGGAGACTCTTGAGAGTCCCATGGACTGCAAAGAAGATCAAACCTCTCCATTCTGAAGGAAATCAGCCCTGAGTGCTCACTGGAAGGACAGATCCTGAAGCTGAGGCTCCAAGACTTTGGCCACCTCAGGAGAAGAGAAGACTCCCTGGAAAAGACCCTGATGCTGGGAAAGATGGAGGGCGCAAGGAGAAGGGGACGACAGAGGACAAGATGGTGGGACAGTGTTCTCGAAGCTACCAGCATGAGTTTGACCAAACTGCGGGAGGCAGTGGAAGACAGGAGGGCCTGGCGTGCTCTGGTCCAGGGGGTCACGAAGAGGCGGACACGACTAAACGACTAAACAACAACAACAAACAGTCGAGACAGCCATTGAAGCTGGAGCGTCTTTTCTGCCATGGATTTCCCTCCTTCTCTTGAAAAGGCATATATAACACTTTATTTAATCACTTTTATTTATTTATTCATACATACATACATACATACCCCACCTATCTGACTGGGCTGCCCCAGCCACTCTGGGCAGCCTCCGACACGTATAAAAACATCAAACATGAACAGTAACAACCTGATCCAATACAAAAAGTAACAAGAACTTTAAAATAAACAACAAAGCAACATTCAGCAACAAATTTATACTGAATTTATACCTTGGCCTTCCTCCCAAATAGATAACAGAACTCAAAAAACAAATGGCAAACATTATAAAGCAGTTTTACGATTCTGAAAACGTCGTCAATTAAGAACCAACTCAAAGCAGTCAAGGGTTTGAAACATTCCAAGAACGTGTTTAAAGCGTTCTTCAGCTGGATAGCTCAGTCGGTTAGAGCATGGGTAGGCAAACTAAGGCCAGGGGGCCGGATCCGGCCCAATTGCCTTCTCAATCCGGCCCACGGATGGTCCAGGAATCAGCGTGTTTTTACATGAGTAGAAGGTGTCCTTTTATTTAAAATGCATCTCTGGGTTATTTGTGGGGCATAGGAATTCGTTCATTTTTTATTTTATTTTTCAAAAGATAATCCGGCCCCCCACAAGGTCTGAGGGACAGTGGACCGGCCCCTGCTGAAAAAGTTTGCTGACCCCTAGGTTAGAGCGTGGTGCGTGTGGCAGTTAGCACCCAGCTGCAACAGTTTAATAAAGATCAGGCTCACTAGCTGCTTTGCTTCTCAATATTCTCTGGTTGGCCTCTGTTATTTTTCTCCTACCGATAGAGAACCTATAAAAGGACTCCTGTATATGGGCTCTTGGGTACCCCATAAGGGAAAAGGAGCAGTTTTTCTTATAACAGGAATTAAGATTGCTGGAAGAAATACCAACAGCCTCAGATATGCAGATGACACAACATTGATGGCAGAAAGTGAGGAGGAATTAAGGAACCTTTTAATGAGGGTGAAAGAGGAGAGCGCAAAATATGGTCTGAAGCTCAACATCAAAAAACGAAGATCATAGCCACTGGTCCCATCACCTCCTGGCAAATAGAAGGGGAAGAAATGGAGGCAGTGAGAGATTTGACTTTCTTGGGCTCCATGATCACTGCAGATGGTGAGAGCAGCCACAAAATTAAAAGACGCCTGCTTCTTGGGAGAAAAGCAATGACAAACCTGGACAGCATCTTAAAAAGCAGAGATATCACCTTGCCAACAAAGGTCCGTATAGTTAAAGCTATGGTTTTCCCAGTAGTGATGTATGGAAGTGAGAGCTGGACCATAAAGAAGGCTGATCGCTGAAGAATTGATGCTTTTGAAATCTGGTGCTGGAGGAGACTCTTGAGAGTCCCATGGACTGCAAGAAGATCAAACCTCTCCATTTGGAAGGAAATCAGCCCTGAGTGCTCACGGGAAGGACAGATCCTGAAGCTGAGGCTCCAAGACTTTGGCCACCTCATGAGAAGAGAAGACTCCCTGGGAAAGACCCTGATGTTGGGAAAGATGGAGCGCACAAGGAGAAGGGGACGAAGGAGGACGAGATGGTGGGACAGTGTTCGCGAAGCGACCAGCATGAGTTTGACCAAACTGCGGGAGGCAGTGGAAGACAGGAGGGCCTGGCATGCTCTGGTCCAGGGGGTCACAAAGAGGAGGACACGACTAAACGACTCAACAACATTTTTCTCCTACCGATAGAGAACCTACAAAAGGACTCTAAATGGGCTCTTGGGTACCCCATAAGGGGAAAGGAGCCGTTTTTCTTATAACAGGGGTTTAGGGATTGCAACCGCTGCCAATTGCTGCGCCTGGAGAAAGCTACTCTCTGCGCGCACACCCACCCTCAGCCACCTTACCTGCAGAACACCTTGGAGGTGCCAGGATTCCTCGCAAGCCACAGCCTCCCCTGCAAGGCACTCCACATGACCCTCCAGCAAGTCACTGGTGCGAAGCCCCGCCTCCCACAAGCACGCTTGCCCCCTTCCCAGGCTCCATCCTGCGCGCCGCCTATTGCATGAATGAGCGCAGCCTTTTGCAAGCTCCCCTTGCCAGCACGGCAGTGACGCACGCTTTCGGCTTCAAACTGCGGGCGGCGTGGGTGCGCCCTTCTGCGACGCCATTGGTCGAAGAGGGAAAGGGGCGGGGGGAATGGAACGGAGAGGGAAGGAGGGGTGGGGCTTAGCGAGAGGGGCGGGGCCTCGAGCCTTTTTCCCCCCCTGCTATTGCTGCCGCCGCAGAGACTTTAGGTTTGAAATTGCACGGCTTTTAAGCTCGGTTAAAGTTTTGCCTTTGCAAGCGGCGACTAAAGCGAGATGATGGTGGAAACTTCAATATGTGCCATTTGAGCATCTTTTTCCTTCTATTATTATTATTATTATTATTATTATTATTATTATTATTTGGCTGGTGGTTTTGTAAAGGCTTGCAAGCGCTTGGCTATATAAACTCGATTAATAATAATAATAATAATAATAATAATAATAATAATTTGGCTGATGGTTTTGTTAAGGTTTGCAAACGCTTGCCTATCTAAACTCGATAAATAATAATAATAATAATAATAATAATAATAATTTGGCTGATGGTTTTGTTAAGGTTTGCAAACGCTTGCCTATCTAAACTCGATGAATTATTATTATTATTATTATTATTATTATTTGGCTGATGGTTTTGTAAAGGCTTGCAAACGCATGCCTATATAAACTCGATTAATAATAATAATAATAATAATAAAGAGGGCGATGGGTTTTCTTGGGGTCCTCAGCACCTTTAACCCAAGAGCTGCAAAATAATGGACCCCTTCCCGGCCCTTGCTGCTCTGTGAAGAACCGTGGGGGAAATGCACTCTGCGTATGCGCAGGTGCACGCTTGCCTCCCTTGCAAAACGAGCCCTCGCCTGCACTGCATCCCCCGAAAGGGAAGGCGCGTGCACCCAGCTGAACCCTGGGGTGACGTCACGTCCTTGCTGCTCCGTGGTGGGGGAGCCTTTTTGGAAATAATCCCTTAGTGATCCATTACGAGCTGGCCTGTCGCCGGAGCCGGGTGTCTCCTTGCAAAGCGAGCAACCCTGCAGCTGCAATCTTTCCTCCTCCCTCTCGGCGTCTCCTGCCTCCTTTATGCAAAAAAAGGAAAACCAAACGGGCTTCTCCCCGCCGCAAACCCGCCCTCCCGCACCACAGCGCTTGCCTGTGAAACATAACATTTTATTTGGGATCTCGCCCTGGCGCTGGGTTTTTGCAGGGCTGCATGGATCTCTCTCTCTCTTGCAAACACCGTTGCACAGGACTCCTGGGTCTCCTCCTTAGCCACAGGGTCGAGGAGGGTCTGGAAGGGTTGGTGGGGGCTCCCATCTGTTTTGTCCTTCATCCTGGTCTGTGGGCACGCATGGGGAAGATTGCAAAAAAGTTATGCTCTAGTGTTATAGGAATTCTAAGGTCTTTTATATCTATCTATCATCTATAATGTTCATAAATGTACAAAGCAAACACATACAAAAGTGTACAAACCACGTGTCTGAAATAGTAAGTACAGTGGTACCTCGGGTTAAGTACTTAATTCGTTCCGGAGGTCCGTACTTAACCTGATACTGTTCTTAACCTGAAGCACCGCTCTAGCTAATGGGGCCTCCTGCTGCCGCCGCGCTGCTGAAGCATGATTTCTGTTCTCATCCTGAAGCAAAGTTCTTAACCTGAAGCACTATTTCTGGGTTAGCGGAGTCTGTAACCTGAAGCGTATGTAACCTGAAGTGTATGTAACCTGAGGTACCACTGTATCTATCTATCTAGGCTCTGTGGGTTAAACCACAGAGCCTAGGACTTGCCGATCAGAAGGTTGGCGGTTCGAATCCCCGCCACGGGGTGAGCTCCCGTTGCTCGGTCCCTGCTCCTGCCAACCTAGCCGTTCGAAAGCACGACAAAGTGCAAGTAGATAAATAGGTACCACTCCGGCGGGAAGGTAAACAGCGTTTCCGTGCGCTGCTCTGGTTCGCCAGAAGCGGCTCAGTCATGCTGGCCACATGACCCGGAAGCTGTACGCCGGCTCCCTCGGCCAGTAAAGCGAGATGAGCGTCGCAACCCCAGAGTTGGCCACGACTGGACCTAATGGTCAGGGGTCCCTTTACCTTTATCTATCTATCTATCTATCTATATCTATCTATCTATCTATCTATCATCTATCTATCTATCATGTTCATAAATGTACAAGGCAAACACATACATAAGTATACAAACCATGTGTCTGAAATAGTGCCTGAAGGTACTCTGAAGCCGTTTTGACTCTCCCAAATTGACCTCAAATGCAGTGGCGTATCGTGGGGGGTGCAGGGGGGCCAGCCGCACCGGGTGCAACATCTTAGGGTTAGGGTGCGCAAATCCACGGGTTAGGGGGCGCAAATTACTTGCCTTGCCCCGGGTGCTGACAACCTACGCTACGCCACTGCTCAAATGTTTCTCTGCAAGGAGGAAGGAAATGGGAAAAGCTTTCCGATTGTCTTTGGACCATAGGGGCTTATGCTTCCCTTTGCAAAAAACAGTCTGGCAAGTATCTGTTAAGCTGAGCACACTCTCAACATGCGTAAGAGATTCAGGAACTAAGTATTTACCATCTCCAAGGAATGTCCAGGCTACCCAGAAAAGGCCATCAGATAAGGCATTGTCAGGTATCCTGGCAGACAGGAGAGAAGCAACACGCTCAAATTTCTGCTGGAGACCACCTCTTTCTGTGATGTATGCATGATGTTTTTTGGGGGGTGGTCTTGAGCTACAGGGGAGGCAGTTTCAAAAGTCTATATAAGAGCTTGCACACCAATGTTCTGGGTTCCTCTCCTCCCTCCCTGTGTGGGGTGAGTGGGGGACCCTGTTGCAACAGTTTAATAAAGATCAGGCTTACTAGCTGTTTTGCTTCTCAATATTCTCTGATTGGCCTCTGCTATTTTCTCCTACTGATAGAGAACCTACATAAGGACTCTATACAGGCTCTTGGATACCCCATAAGGGATAAAGGGGCAGTTTTTTCTTATAACACCAAAGTAAAGGTAAAGGGACCCCTGACCATTAGGTCCAGTCGTGGCCGACTCTGGGGTTGCGGCGCTCATCTCGCTTTACTGGCCGAGGGAGCCGGCGTACAGCTTCCGGGTCATGTGGCCAGCAGGACTAAGCCGCTTCTGGTGAACCAGAGCAGCGCACGGAAACGCCGTTTACCTTCCCACCCCTTCTGTTGGGTCTGGGCACCGTGAGAATAGGACTCTGTACTGGCTGGGCCCCTTTTTGGTCTGCTGCGCCTGATGTCCTTAACCACGTGGATCATCAGCAACCAAAATCAATACAGTGGTACCTCGGGTTACAGACGCTTCAGGTTACAGACTCCGCTAACCCAGAAATACCTCGGGTTAAGAACTTTGCTTCAGGATGAGAACAGAAATCATGCTCCGGCAGCAGCAGGAGGCCCCATTAGCTAAAGTGGTAACACAGGTTAAGAACAGTTTCAGGTCAAGAACAGACCTGCAGAACGAATTAAATTCTTAACCCAAGGTACCAATGTATATGGGTTTCCTTTAAAAAAAACAGTGTGGGGTAAGCATTCTGAAAAACTGCCCCGCCTTTTTATCAGGACTCATGAAATCTGCAAATTAGAAAGATGTATAATTGCTTTTAAGGCAGTCCACTGACAACATGCAGAGGGCCTTTATTCCAAACAATGATTAAGCAACAAATACAGTGGTACCTCGGGTTAAGAACGTAATTCGTTCTGGAGGTCCATTCTTAACCTGAAACTGTTCTTAACCTCAGGTACCACTTTAGCTGATGGGGCCTCCGGGGCACGATTTCTGTTCTCATCCTGAAGCAAAGTTCTCAATCTGAGGTACTATTTCTGGGTTAGCGGAGTCTGTAACCTGAAGCATCTGTTACCTGAAGCGTCTGTAACCCGAGGTACCACTGTAAATGCTACACGGTGCTGGCAAATTCAAGTTTCCGGAATGATATGGAGCTTTAAACAATACCTCCAAAAAGCGCTCCCTTACCCACAAGGAAGCCGGTCCCTTGCAAAGTGGTCCTGTTGCCCAAAAATGACACTTCACACCTGCATACACTGAACCCAAACACATTGTTGTTGTTTAGTCGTTTAGTCGTGACCGCCTCGTCGTGACCCCCTGGACCAAGAGCACGCCAGGCACTCCTGTCTTCCACTGCCTCCCGCAGTTTGGTCAAACTCATCCTGGTAGCTTCCAGAACACTGTCCAACCATCTCGTCCTCTGTCGTCCCCTTCTCCTTGCGCCCTCCATCTTTCCCAACATCAGGGTCTTTTCCAAGGAGTCTTCTCTTCTCATGTTGCGGCCAAAGTCTTGGAGCCTCAGCTTCAGGATCTGTCCCTCCAGTGAGCACTCAGGGCTGATTTCCTTCAGAATGGAGAGGTTTGATCTTCTTGCAGTCACGTTACACAAACACATTACAGGCCTTAAATTCAACCTCAGCAAAGGGACCTTGTACATCCCAGGTCAAGTTACCTTGCTGGTATTTTTACACCCATCTCGGCTCCCCGTCTCTAGAAATAACAGCCTGACCTTTGGGGACCTGAGGAGACGTCTGAGGTCAAGACAGGAAAACAACTCCGGAGAAAATCTGGGAAGGTTTTTAAGGCAACTTCAGCAAAAAGAAGCGGTGAGCCGAAGTGGGGAAGGGGAAAGGCCCACTTTAAAGAGCAGAACAGCCTCCTAAGCGATCAGCAAGCTATTTGGAGTTCTAACTCCCGGAAGGTTAAATATCACAACAATATCTAACAAGAGGGATTATTTAGTTGTGATTCCTGCATTGCATAGATGGTTCTTGGGTCCCTTTTCAAGCCCACGATTCTGTGATTCTAAGGGAAACCTTTTCTCCTCGTCCCATAAATACCAAGGCTGGGAATATTATTATTATTATTATTATTATTATTATTGGTAGCTTCCAATCAAGTGTTAAAAACAACACAGCATTAAATATTAAAAACTTCCCTAAACAGGGCTGCCTTCAGATGTCTTTTAAAGAGAAGATAGCTGCTTATTTCTTTCACATCTGAAGGGAGGGTGTTCCACAGG